TATATAGTTGTGTGCCACTGCACCAATTCTGACTTATAACAACCCTATATGACAGAGTAGAACTGCCCCATAGGGTTTCCTAGGCTGTAATCTCTATGCGAGGAGATTGCCAGGTCTTTTCTCCCTCAGAGCTGCTGGTGGGTTTGGAACTGCCAACCTTTTGGTTAGCAGCCAAGCACTTAACCATTGCACTTATAACAGTACCTGGCACATAATATATATCAGCAACATAAATATATATATTATCAGCAATATAAATATATATATTATCAGCTAATATAAATAGATATATTATCAAATATGTATATATAATGTGCCAGTTATAAGTGCTTTCATATATTAACTCATATGTACCTCATACAAACATTATAAGTTAAGCACTATTTTGGTGCCTATTATATAGGTGTGGATGCTAATATATATAGATAGATTAAGTCACTTGTCCAAGATCACAAGGCTAATAAGTCATAGGGCTGAGATTGTGAAGCAGTACATCAGGAGGCTGTTGCTTAGGCTTGGACTGGGGCAATGGCATTGGGGAAGCACTAGGCTAATTGAGTTAAGATATGTATGAGATGTAAAAGTGATAGGTCTTATCTCCAAAACACTACATTTCTAATTGCCGAGTATACTTTTCAACTTGACTATCTTGCTGTTGCCTCAATTGTTTACCAAATACCTTTCCCACCTGTTTTTCCTATTTCTGTTAAAGGTGCTATGATTCACAATCACTCAGACCTAAAGCGTTGTAGTAATTTTTTTTCTCTCTCTCCCCTTTTCTCCTGTGAGTGATCAATCACAAAGCCCATGCCAGTTACCTTTTGCAAAGTCTTTATGATTCATCCTATCACTCCCATTCCAATGTTCTGCCTGTAGAAGTTTGAACACAAAGCTCAATGCAGGTGACCTGGTGAGGAAGGCTGTTGGCAGGCTGTTCCGACTGAGTCATCCCCATGTGACTTTACCATGGCCCTGGATCTGATTATACCATCTGGGAAAATGAATTTTGGGAGCACACAGAGAATGGGCCATGTATTGCTGTTAAGTCCACTTTAAGATAGTTTAAGATGTAATAAAAGAAGGAAGAGAAGAACAAGTAATGTGTCCAGAAAAAGAGATTGAGAGGGGTAATCACAGTTAGAAGGACCAGAAAAAATGGAATTTGCTGGAAGGCAAATTCCTTGTCCTAAGAATGAATGTGGCACTCTGCCAAGGTCATGCTCTACGTCACAGGACTTCCTACAAGTCCGTATACTTTTCTCTGGATGAAAGATTAGTACCCTGGGCTTTACTATGAAAGACTGAATAATGACATAAAAATATATACTGATTAAACCCAGAAAACACTGAATAGTCTTTTCAGACTGAAGGAATAGTATGCCCTTTAGATTTTTTTGTTTTATTACATCCATGTATTGAATCTCTATGTCAGCACTTAATGTTATCTAAATCTTCAGAACAATCTCTTAAGGTAGGTATTCGCATCCTGTCCTCCTCCTTTTTCAGGTGAGAAAAGTGAGAGTGAGTGAGTTTAAGTAATTGGCCAGAGGTTGTACAGTTACAAAGTGGCAGAGCCAGAATTCAGACTCTCTGCAGTGGTTAAGAGCTTGGCTGCTGTCGTAGTCATCTAGTGCTGCTATAACAGAAATACCACAAGAGGACAGCTTCAACAAAGAGAAATTTATTCTCTCACAGTCCAGTAGGTTACAAGTCCAAATTCAGGGCATCAGCTCCAGGGGAAGACTTTCTCTTTTGGCTCTGGAGGAAGGTCTTTGTCATCAGTCTTCCCTTGCTCTGGAAGCATCTCAGCATAGGAACCTCAGGTCCAAAGGATGCACTCAGCTCCTGGCACTGCTTTCTTGGTGGTATGAAGTCCCCATGTCTTTCTGCTTGCTTCTCTCTTTTATATCTCAAAAGAGATGGGCTTAAGACACTATCTAATCTTATATATCTCATCAGTATAACTGCCACTAATCCATCTTACTACATTATATTGATAAAATATACAACACATAGGGAAATCACATCAGATTACAGAATGGTAAACAATCATATAATACTGGGAATCATGACTTAGCCAAGTTGACAGATATTTTGGAGGACACATTTCAATCCATGACAACTGCTAAACAAAAGGTCAGCAGTTCGAATCCACCAGCCACTCTTTGGAAACCCTATGGGGCCTTTCCACTCTGTCCCATAGGATCACTATAAGTCAGAATTGACTCGACAGCAACGGGTTTGGTTTTTTTTTGGGTCTGACCGCAAAGCCTGTATTTTTAGTCACTCCAATTCACTGCCTCTAACAGCATAGAGGCATAGTAACCATTTCGTGGAAACAAAAAAAATACTTAGAAGTTTTAGCATTTTAAGTTTAGAATTAAAAACAGTGATATTTTCAATGAATTTAGCACTGACAGTTAAAATCAAGGAATTGAAAATGGACCTTTTTATATTGACAATAGCCCCTTATGTCTTTCCTCGTCTATTGTTCTGTGACAGGATTTCAGTTGTTTGTACTCGAAGTAAAATGAGATGATCAATGAAATGCCCTTATTACACATGTAAGGACCACACTTAGTGGAGCTATTATAGTATTGTTCATGCAAATCCATAGGATTTGAAAACAATCTTTTTTCTCCCATTTTAGGGATAAAGTCATAATGGTTTTTGGAAACCATGCATTTAGTTAAATTGATGCTTAGACATAAGGGTACATATGATAAAAATAAATTCTATAAAAAAATTAGTGGCATCATCAGGATGATTATTATAGCATTTTTTGTCTGAGACTGGATTTGAGTATGAGTAGCTTTTATATGTAAATCTAGTCATTTTTTGCACAATGCAATGTGAAACTATTAAATGCTATTTATTTTACTATTTGCTAATCTAATCATAAATATGAAATAAATTATTCAGAATAAATAAGGTACAGAAGATATTGAAAGAATCAAATGCACTTAAAACAAATGAATACATGTTAGTGGTTGCTCATAACTTGCCTCTACTATAAACACATTAATTACTAAAATGCATTCTTATGCTAACATATGGTGAATGTGATTATTATTTTAACTCTGTCTTTATGATTATATGAAAATAACTCCAAAAAATTGGTGCAAGTTAACTGACCAAACAAGAGTGGCGATAGTTACTGTGGTATGTTTACACCCCTATTTTTTACAGCTTACATGAGCACCATAGAGAAAATGCATTTCATAATGTGAAACAGAATAATTGCTGTGGCTAACACATTTTTCTAATTGCAGTTGCTTGAATTTCCAATTTCATCCCCACCTAGTTCTCTATCAAACAGAAATTATTTAAATCAGAAAACTGTGTAAAAATTCGTGCCAGTTTTGGTGTCAGTTAAAATCAGTGTGTGTCAATTAGCATTGGTACCAGAAAGCACATTGTCCCTATCAGGTGACAGTGGCATAGTTTGTTACAAGGGTCCAAAATAAGAAAAACTTTAAAGGTTCTTCTTTTTTGGGCCTTCTCTTCCATTTAATATTTGCCCCCTGCAAGAAGTTACATGATGCAGAGGCAACGAGCACAGATTCCTGAATCCTACTACCTGAGTCGGAATCCCAGCAGTACCATTTACTGACTGTGTGACCTGTGGCAAGTTACATAATCTCTCTGAAACTCATTTTCCTCATGAGAATGATAGTAGCAGCACTTGTCTTTTAGGGTTGCTGTGAGGATAAAATGAAGACTAGTGCCTAGGACACAGAATGCACTATTTAAGGTAGTCATTATTATTACATAACCTCAGTTTTACATAATGGTTATTTTTTGAAGTTCAGAAAAGTACTCATGCCATAACTGTTCAACTAACTGAATTTTCACAAGCTCAACAATCCAGTGTAACCAGTACCTAAATCAAGAAACAGCAACTAGTACCCCAAAAGCCCTCCTTCTGCCCCCTCCCAGCATCTACCCCTCTCTAAGGGTAAACAATATCCTGACTTCTACCTTAATGACTATTTGTTAAGCTTTAATAGTGTAGCAATTATTAAGGGATTTAGCATAGTAGTATTTTGTTTTTTCATTCAATATCTAAGACAAACCTGCTTGCTGATTAATCTTTTAATATATAATTGTTTGTTTTCTAGGTTGAAAAAGCTCCTTGAACAAGAAAAGGCTTACCAAGCCCGCAAAGAAAAGGAAAATGCTAAACGGCTCAATAAACTAAGAGATGAACTTGTCAAACTCAAGTCCTTTGCACTCATGCTGGTGGATGAAAGACAAATGCATATTGAGCAACTTGGTCTGCAAAGCCAGAAGGTACAGGATCTTACTCAGAAACTGAGGGAAGAAGAAGAAAAGCTGAAAGCAATTACTTCCAAATCCAAAGAAGACAGGCAGAAATTGCTCAAGTTAGAAGTGGACTTTGAACACAAGGCTTCAAGGTTCTCTCAGGAGCATGAAGAGATGAATGCTAAATTGGCTAATCAAGAGTCTCACAACAGGCAACTTAGACTCAAGCTGGTTGGCTTAAGTCAAAGAATTGAGGAGCTAGAAGAAACCAACAAAAATCTTCAAAAGGCAGAGGAAGAACTTCAGGAATTAAGAGATAAAATTGCCAAAGGGGAATGTGGAAACTCCAGCCTCATGGCAGAAGTGGAAAATCTCCGAAAGCGTGTGCTGGAAATGGAAGGTAAAGATGAGGAGATCACTAAAACCGAATCCCAATGTAGGGAATTGAGGAAGAAGCTGCAAGAGGAAGAACACCATAGTAAGGAGCTCAAACTTGAAGTCGAAAAGTTACAGAAGAGAATGTCTGAACTGGAGAAATTGGAAGAAGCATTTAGCAAGAGTAAATCTGATTGTACCCAGCTACATTTAAATCTGGAGAAAGAAAAGAACTTAACCAAAGACCTGCTAAATGAATTGGAGGTGGTTAAGAGTCGAGTTAAAGAACTCGAATGTTCTGAAAGTAGATTGGAAAAAGCTGAATTAAGCCTAAGAGATGATCTGACAAAGTTGAAGTCATTTACTGTGATGCTGGTTGATGAAAGGAAGAATATGATGGAAAAAATAAAGCAAGAAGAAAGGAAAGTGGATGGTCTCAATAAAAATTTTAAGGTGGAGCAGGGAAAGGTTATGGATGTAACTGAAAAACTAATTGAAGAAAGTAAGAAGCTTTTAAAACTGAAATCTGAAATGGAGGAAAAGGTATACAATTTGACAAAAGAGAGAGACGAGTTAATAGGGAAACTGAAGAGTGAAGAAGAAAAATCTTCTGAATTAAGCTGCAATGTTGACTTATTAAAGAAGAAACTTGATGGTAGAGAGGAAGTAGAAAGAGAAATTACAAGGGGAAGATCTCGAAAAGGACCTGAACTCACCTGCCCAGAAGATAACAAGATTAAAGAACTAACACTTGAAATTGAGAGACTGAAGAAACGTCTCCAACAGTTGGAGGTGGTCGAAGGGGATTTGATGAAGACAGAGGATGAGTATGATCAGCTGGAGCAGAAATTTAGAACTGAGCAGGATAAGGCTAACTTCCTCTCTCAACAACTAGAGGAGATAAAGCACCAAATTGCCAAGAATAAAGCAATAGAGAAGGGTGAGGCTGTGAGCCAGGAAGCTGAGCTAAGACACAGATTTCGATTGGAAGAAGCTAAAAGTCGAGACTTAAAAGCAGAAGTCCAAGCTCTTAAAGAGAAGATTCATGAGCTAATGAATAAAGAAGATCAGCTTTCTCAGCTCCAGGTGGATTATTCTGTCCTTCAACAAAGATTTATGGAAGAAGAGAATAAGAACAAAAACATGGGGCAGGAGGTCCTCAATTTGACCAAAGAGTTGGAGCTTTCTAAGCGGTATAGCAGAGCTCTCAGACCCAGTGTGAATGGAAGAAGAATGGTAGATGTTCCTGTAACATCAACAGGAGTACAGACTGATGTGGTTAGCAGTGAAGCAGCAGAGGAGGAAACTCCTGCTGTGTTCATACGGAAATCCTTTCAAGAGGAAAATCACATCATGAGTAATCTTCGACAGGTGGGATTGAAAAAACCTATGGAGCGATCCTCTGTTCTAGACAGATATCCTCCAGCAGCAAATGAGCTCACTATGAGAAAGTCTTGGATTCCATGGATGAGAAAAAGGGAAAACGGGCCCTCAATCACTCAGGAGAAAGGGCCTCGAGCAAATTCCACTCCAGGGCACCCAGGAGAGCTAGTCCTTTCACCAAAGCAGGGTCAGCCCCTGCACATTCGAGTGACTCCAGACCATGAGAACAGTACTGCCACTTTGGAGATAACGAGCCCAACATCTGAAGAATTTTTTTCTAGCACCACTGTCATTCCTACCTTAGGGAATCAAAAACCAAGGATAACCATTATTCCATCACCAAATGTAATGTCTCAAAAATCGAAAAGTGGAGATACTACTCTTGGTACAGAACGAGCCATGTCGCCAGTCACAATTACTACATTTTCCAGAGAGAAGACCCCAGAAAGTGGAAGAGGTGCGTTTGTGGACAGGCCCACATCCCCCATTCAGATAATGACAGTGTCTACATCAGCAGCACCAGCTGAGATAGCAGTCTCTCCTGAATCCCAGGAAATGCTCATGGGAAGGACTGTCCTCAAAGTCACTCCAGAAAAACAAACTGTTTCAACGCCAGTAAGGAAGTACAACGCCAATGCCAATATCATAACCACGGAAGACAATAAAATTCACATTCACTTAGGTTCTCAGTTTAAACGATCTCCTGGGACTTCAGCTGAAGGAGCAAGTCCAGTTATTACTGTCCGACCAGTCAATGTGACAGCTGAAAAAGAAGTTTCCACTGGCACTGTCCTTCGTTCTCCCAGGAACCATCTTTCATCACGACCTGGTGCGAGCAAAGTGACAAGCACTATCACCATAACACCGGTCACAACTTCATCCACTCGAGGAACCCAGTCAGTGGTGAGTAGAAGAGGTTCCAAAGTACAGGCCAGAGAATGGATAGAGAAGTGAGTAGTGAGACTAACCTCACGTCCACCATATAACAAAACCACAAGCCTCTCACTCCATCTGAGCCCGCTAACAGACGTTTCCTAGAGGACTATCTACACTGTTCTGAGAAAAGAAAAGTTGCCTAATAGTTTGATAAACTGGGATAATTTTGAGGGGATTTTTTTTTCATGTAAGTTATGGAGACCCAAAAATACTTTCAAAGATGGTCTCTTTGAAATGGCAGCATGTAGTAAGTTTTAAAATTTGATTTTATGTTGAAAATGCTTTTTAAAGTGGAGACAGTAGAAGAAATAATCAATATACTGGAAGGATTAAAACTGTTGCTACATTACTGTCTCTATAACCTAAAATATTCAATATGTGATTATGTATGGACATAAGTCAAAAATAAAATTAAAAGAATTTAATATCAAAATATTTTTAAAAGCAAAAATGAAGTGAGTTCATATGTCTAGAAACTATATTTTATTAATAGTACCTTGCAGAGAGGAGATGCTTGGTAAATATTTATGTAATAACTGGCTGGAAGGCTAAATAAATGATCATAAAAAAGCATTTCCAAAGTATAAAGACCAGAGCTTAAAAATAAATTCTATTTTTCAAAATATTTTCAGTGATTGTCTTTATAGATTGGGAACAAATTGGTAAATGTAGTTATGGAATAAAAACCTGTTGCCATTGAGTTAATTCCGACTCATAGCAACCCTACAGGACAGAGTGGAACTGCCCCATAGGGTTTCCAAGGAGCGGCTAGTGGATTTGAACTGCCGCCTTTTGGTTAGCAGCCAAACTCTTAACCACTACGCCACCAGGGCTCCAATTAAGGAATAGTATGTAACAATTAGATATTTATTTAAACCAATAGGATAGAAATTCTTATGATTCCTGGACTCTGAACAAATTCTACAGCAAATTTTGAAAACTCTTAAAAAAGACAGGAAGCTTTCAATTTAACTATAGAAACTGTGGCTTGTTTTCCCATACCCTCAATATAATTTACTTTAATTCTCTGTGTACAAACATAGATTTAAGACAGACTTCAGAGTGTGAATTACTAATTGCTTTGCCAGTAAAGCTTTTATTTATTGGCTCTACAGAAGCCAGATAGCATTCAGAACTGCTCACCCTTCATAAATGCTTTTTAGGGCACAAAGAGCATAGCTGGCTGTGCAGTCTTGCTTGTTTCTGTTACATTTTATATAAAGACAGTAGGGGTATAAATGGTTGTAACAGGAGATTATCAAAATAGCCAATCTCTCATAGAGATAAAGCAAAAGACCACTATGTCCCATTTAGGCTTTTGGAATCACAGCAGTAATTTCTAAGCACCTCTGAAGGGCAGATTTTCTGCTGTAACATTTATTTCCATTACAAGTGTCAGATCAAGATAGCCTTACCCCCTGTAGCAACATTTTTGACTACTGATTAAACCCTATACACAAGTAGGATTTCGAATTAACTGTCTAAGAATTCTAAGGCCTGGATGATGACTCACTTATGTCAGGTGTATCAGATCCCATAAAATTCAGAGACAGCAAAAGGTTTGGAACGCTCCTCTTAGAATTTGAACAGAGAGGCTAGTTCATTTCTGCATTTATTCATTCAGTATTTACCAAGTTTCTTACACATTAGGCACTGGACTAGATGTTGGCATGCAAAGATGAAAAAGACATGTCCGTTGTCTTTTAGAAGTTCTTGATTTTGTGGGAGGGGAAGGATTGGAACTTACGTAGTGGTTCTGTGATAGAGATACGGAACACTAGTGAAGGTTTCACAAAAGAGGAGATACGGAGGGTTTTCAAGAAGGAAAAAGGAAGAGGCATGTAGAGGGAACACCATGTGAAAAGGCATGGCAGCGTGAAAGAGTGTGGAATATTTGGGGAATGGTGAGCCGTCCCATTGTGCTGCAACAGTTGGGCATGGGGAGAAAACGGAAGGGCAGGAAATGGAGAGGCAAACTGGGGTCAGATACGGAAGGGAGGTGCATGTTTTACTATGAAATTGACACTTAATCTTATCGAGTAGACAAGGGAGTCATTGAAAGGGTGGTGAGCATTAGAGAAACATTCTATTACTTGTGTTTTAGAAAGATCCATCAAGAAACTGTTTAAAGGCTAAATCAGAAGAGATAGCTTGAGGACAGGGATGCTGTTGCAATTTTTTATGCTGGAAATAGTATGCTATCTTGAACTATGGTAGCGGAAGTGAGAGAGATACATTAAAGATGAAATCGAAAAGATTTCATGACAAATTGAGTACAGAGAGTGGCTCTGAGGTTTCTGGGTTGGCAGTCTGAGCAGACAGGATGAGAAACATAGGAGGAACAAACTGTTTGAGGGAGAAGATAAGTGATATTTGGGGCATGTTAGACTTGAGATGCCTAGGGGCATTAGAAATGTCCAGCAAGTAGCTGGAAATACAGACGTGCAGAGTAGGAGAGCTTTGAAGGCCAGAGATCCTGGGACTGACTCATGGACACAGAGGGTGATAACAGGATTTTCTCAGCATGGATGTGAAAAATAAAAGTAAGGCTGAGAATGGAACGTAGTGATACTTACATTTAGAAGATGGGCAAAATAGTACAAGGAGCTAGCAAAAGAGATTAAAAGAGAAGCTGTTAGGAGGTGAATACAGCATGAGAGTTTTAGGAACATTTTAAGAAGGAAGGTGTGGCCAGAAGTGACAATTAAAAAAAAAAAAGAGAAATGAGGAAGTTATCATGGACCTCAGCAATAGAGGTTATTTAAATGAGAAAGCTGAGCATGCCTGTGGGTTTAATGAAGCAAGAAAAATCCTGATGAAAACGGAAGGGCTGGGGTCTCGAGCACAGGAGAGAGGGGAGCGGTATCATCTCTGAGAGAGGACAGGAGGGAAAGTGGAGATAATTTGGGGACAGCCAGAGTAAACTTGCCCGAGGTGGCTTATGTTTGCCTGGTGGCCTATATTTTTTCTGTAAAATAGAGGTAAGGTCATTTAGTGTAAGGATAGAGGAGGTAGGTTAAGGACTTGAAAAGAAGAGGAAGTTTGGGATAGATGTTTCAACAGAAGGAAAGAGAGGTAATCAGAGTGGATTAGATACCGACTCCAAGTTTCTTACAATTCCTTTATCTGGGGAAGTGCCTTCTGTGGGTGCTTCTCTGTAGCAAGAGTCTTGCTAACTGTTCAGATTGATGACGGAACTGGGGGAAACTAACCAACACCTCCCGTGTGTCTCTGTATTTTTTCTCTTACAGTCAGGACAAGACGGGTCATCCCAGCGGCCTACGCCCACCCGCATTCCTATGTCAAAAGGTATGAAAGCAGGAAAGCCAGTAGTGGCAGCCCCAGGAGCAGGAAATCTGACCAAATTCGAGCCTCGAGCTGAGTCTCAGTCTATGAAAATAGAGCTGAAGAAATCTGCAGCCGGCAGCACTACCTCTCTTGGAGGGGGGAAGGGCTGAGGGCAGTGGCTAAGGGGGTATGTTGTGCAGATGCTACTGCTGCCGTGAAAATGAATCTTCATCTGTTAGTGCCAACTCTTTACATGTACTAATTTAAGCTTTCAATAACTCGTTTATAAAATAACCAACTAATTACCATGTGTCTTTTCTAATTTGTACATTTGTTTTGATGCTAGGGAATAGAACTAATTGGCAAAAATACTGTTTGCGGTGTGGTTTTTTAAGGATGCTGGGCCTAAGGCAGGACCTGGCTTCTAGTCCAAGTTTTGCTTCTAGACAAGCGGATGCATCAGTTAACCCATCTGAGCCTCAGTTTCCTCATCAGTAAAATTCTGGATCACAAGATCTCCAAGGCTGGCTCCCATATTTCTTAAATGTAATCTAAATTTAAAAGCCTTGTTCCACTATATTTTTTTTTTCAAAAATGCTATTATGAAATAGGAAGTAGTTTAACAATTGTCAGTTGCCTCTATCAAATCCTGAATTTGCTTCACGTGCTGGAAAAAACATCTCATGGCTATCACAGGGTCTGGACTTCTAAATTTTGCAAAAAGAAAAACCTCTAAGATGATGTCAGGAAATAAGTTGAATGTGAAATAAAATGGAAATGAAATATGGAATCCCCAAAACAGAGTTTTACTTATTTGTGTGTGTGCGTTGTAAAAATTTTAGATACCTTCAAAAGATTCCCAGAATTTCGTAGACAATAATTTTAGAACCATTAATGTCAGACTCACTCTGGTCAACTGTGCAATCGATTTAAATTGTGGGGCAGTTTGAATAGAGCTGCCAAATGGCCCTTTATAGCTCAACAGAAATTGTAATGGACAGCAAATAGCAGAAAGTAAATTCTCAGACATTAATGCCAAGGGGAAGAAAAATGACGTCATAAATAGCTTAATTGAATTCAAATATTTTCCTCACTCAAATGTGGACTTTACTTGCAAATGTAGAACCAGCTCATGACTTGGGATGTGTGTATCTGTGTGTGTGTTTGAGTGTGGTGTGAAGTGGGTTATTATTCCTGTCAGTTTTCCTTGTGTTTGTATCATTTTCATTAATTTTAAGCATACTTTTTAATAAGCATGAAGCAGGGTGAATGCAAAATGCCAGGTGTCTTTGTTAGGAGATTAACCATGTTAAAGTGAAAGCTGTGCTTCTTAGTCAAATAACCACAAATGAGCTCAAGGCTAATAACCCGCAGCTTAGCATACAAGGTCTCATGTCAGCAGCACCTTTGTCCAAATTTTGGAGTCTAGTGGGTGAAATTTACAAAGATACAATTAACTACAAAGTTACACATTTTTCTTTTTTCATTTCTGAATTGTGAGGGTTCCAACATTATTTGGATAGTAGCTGCTCTTGATATTTGTAAAAGGGCAGGTTAAAAAAAAAAAAAAAGATATGATCAGTGTTTATCATCATACTTCATGATAAAGAAGCCCTTCTCTAAGTTCATTTCCACACCAGATTTCCTATTTCTTGCAGAATTTGGACTATAATGGTGGTAGATGCCTCAAAGTATTTGCACTAGCTTCGATCAGATCTGTTACCTATTGCTCATCAGTTCTCAGCATATGTAGTAAAAAATGTTGAGCAACCATGTTAAAGACATGCCATAATAATGGGATTTCATGGTAGAAAGAGAGAGAGAGACTGGGAAAATAGACTACTTATGAAGTAAGATTTTGAGCAAATTTAAACAAGAGATTTTGCCATTTAGAATACTGACTCGTATTTGCTTAAAAGGGGGAAAAATCCCCGGGTAAAGTGGACAGCCAGCCCTTTCAAAATAAGGGTGTTCAAGTATTTAATGTTACTGTACCATAACATACCGTATCTGAGCAAATGAGGGTGTCAAAGAACCAAACATTCCATTCCTTTTGACTCTACCTGCCATTCTTCAGTGACTTTTATCATAAACTTATCACTTGCTGCTGTTTTTGCTCACACCATGCTTGCATGGTTTTCTTCTGGAAGTCCATACCATCAGCAGGGAGAATGCTCTGAAAGACTTAACAGTGCATGTACAGGATGTTTATACATCTGGATCTTGGAATAGAGCCACCTACAAAGTACAACTGCTAAGAAAACCTGGCAGAACAACACATTCACTTTTCAGAAATGATAAAGAGCAACTGCCATGACAGTTTTTTCTTTGTAATTTTAGAACTCACTCTACATGTATTGGATAGATTTGCTTTAAACCATATATTAGAAATGAAATCCGCTGGGGATAGGAGGTGGAGGATTAAAGGTACTCCAACTCCAACTTCCATTTGTGAATATAATGTTTTTAAGATGTAATTTGATATGCTTTGTAGGACTGAATGGGATTAAAATGTTAGGGTCTTTTCCTTGTCCTGAAATGTATTGTCTAGTAAAATAAAAGTAGTCTCACCAGGACTGCTATGTACAGCTGATGCTCAGGTCCCACCCTAAAAAAACCCAGAGGTAAAGGGTGTCATTTACATGGACTGCAATGTGGATGGCGCCCCCTGGGGACCTGCAGAACACAATCTGCAGAGCTACAGAGGAGGCTCTGGTCCTCCCCTCCTGAGAATAATTTGAGTGTGTTGGCTCTTTCAGCACACTATAACGGTGGCCACTTAGCATGCATGGCACCACAAATGTTCCTGTAAGGGACACGGCCTTAAGGGTGTTTATCATTTCTTGAAAATGCGAGCTTCATGTCTAGGTCATCTGCTTAGGCAGGGTTATTCAGTTTCTACCAACGTTTCTATTATATTTTCAGTGAGGACTGGTTGATGGGTAGCAACTGGGCTTTCTTTAGAGAGTTTAGTGTATTCACTGAGGATATTACCAAATTTCTTACACGAATTTCTTCAAGTGAAGAAATAGCTTTGATGTGTAGTCTGGGAGAAATATAATTTGTTCAGTTATATGTATGGGAGAAATGAAAACATGTTCAAGAAAGTAAGGCATAAAAAGAGTTGATTTTTCATTCCCTCATAGATTCAGAACACTGGGGAAGAGTGAGACCTTCCTGATTAGGAGAACCACAGGGTGAGGAGAGTGCACGTATGTGGGAAGTGGGAGGGCAGAGAGAGGAAGAGGGAAGGAGGAGAGGGACACAAAGAGCATTTCCCAGTAAATAGGAATCTACTCTTCCAAAATTTGCCCAACCCAGATAAAGGTTAGTATTTTCTTCCTACCTGCTCCTCCAAGGTCTCATCATTGTTTATCTCCTTTTTCTCTGCAGTTTCATCTTCTGTTCAACTGCTGCTTCCACACAAGCTATAAATATGTTCTAGCCTCCTCCATTTCAGCAAAGTTCTTCCTTCAACTGTGCAGTCTGCTATAGCTTCGGCTCTGTCTCCTTTCCTGTCCAGTTAAGCTCTTACCAGAACACTCAACATTTTTTGCTCCACTTCCACACTTCTGGTTTATTCTTTAATTACTTTCTATCTTTATCAAAATAATTCATATACATAAAATATCAGCCAGTGCTAAAAAACATAATGGAAAATTCTTACTTTACCACCCTTATCCCTTAGTCTTGCTCCCTGGAAAAAAAACATTTCCAACTCTTGGCTGTTTTTTCTGGCCTTTATCTCCATATTTATAAATAATATGCTTATACTGCTACTTTTTATTTATAAATTTTAGATATTATCTTTTGTCTTCCATTATTGTTTTGATGGTTGAGGATTTAGCCCTCTCACATGTCCCCTCCCTTCCCTCTTCCCCATCCTCCCAATATGGTTACATCACAATTTTTTTATAAATCAGCAGTCAGCATTTGTTTATAATCCCCCCCAAAAAAAACAAAAACAAAAACAAAACAAATTCTTTGCTGTCAAGTTGATTCTGATCCGTAGTGACTCTAGAGGGTAAAGTAGAACTGCCCTATAGAGTTTCCAAGAAGGGGCTGGTGGATTTGAACTGCTGACCTTTTGGTTAGCAGCCATTTAAACACTGTGCCACCAGGGCTCCATGTTTATAACAGGGTAATGTAAATACTCTTCCCTGCTGAGCCAAGTATTATACCATGATTATGTTTCTTTCTTCTTACCACTTTTCCTTCTTAAAAGAAAACTGCTTTATTTTTTCATCTGCTTGGTTTTCTATGTATTTAGTTTTTTTATTTTTCAAGTGTTCCAATAGATCTGCCAAACACCCATCAATAATTTTTATAAACACATAAACACATCCATTTAATATTTTCCCTGGAAACCTTCCTAGTTCAGCCCTCTGTTTTCCTACTCAGTTTGGGCTGGTTGTCCTCGAGGCCTGCTGCAGGTTGGTGTCCTCTTGCCGTTTTGCCTGTGTTAAACCCCTTGTTTCCTGGATATCTTAGTTTCTACCTTGTTTATCTACCTATCATCCAGCTCTCTCTCTCTCTCTTTCTCTGATCTATCCATTTTTAAAGTACATCTTTCAGTAGTTTTTAGAGAAAAATCCTTCATTTCTTCCCTGGGGCAGGCTACTTGCATTCTGGAAATAGGTCAGGAGAGGTGAGATGAGAATCTCATGGTTCAGTTTGTAAACTTTTTCACTCCCTTGCATTCAGTCTATGCCTCATCCTTGCCCTTTCTTGTGCCTCGGTCTAGAACTTCTCTGGGTCAGTTTTTCCAGGAAATAAATTTCTAGCCTCCCTGTAAGGGTAAGTAAGGGTAGAGTTAGGTTGTGCTCCTCTCAGGGTAGAGTTAGGTTGTGCTCCTCTCTCAGTGACCAAACCCTCTATGTCCTTTGGTTCTCCTTCTACCTCTCTAACTGCTCCGCCTCAGTCTCTCTTGCTGGCTCCTTAGTTTATGCATACATCATAAGTGATGATGTTCCCCATATTCTGTTGAGAACCATTTTTCTACTCGACATACGCACTCTGGT